GAAGTGACCACGTTCATCCAGTGTCCTGCATGTCTCCTGAGGGACGGACGGGAGTCGCCTCCTGGCCGCTGTGTTACGTCATGTTACGTTATGTTATGTCACAGTGTTACTAATGAGAATGGAACATTCAGTCGCACATACGTGTGTGTGTGTGTGTGTGTGTGTGTGAATATGTATGCATGGCAGACAGCAGTGGGAGAAGAGGAGGGAGCTGTAGGCAACAATCTGAGTGTATATTCAAGCCCGTGTGTGTGTGTGTGTGTGTGTGTGTGTACTGTTGCATAAATGTGAAGGGAGTGCTGTCTAGGGACGAATGTTTGTGATGTGTACTTACCCCTGGTAGTGTCTTCTGCTCATGTAGAGCACTCTGGGCTTTTAGTGCCGACTCTCTCGCACAGTAAGTCAGAAACGCACATCCTGCCACACAGAGAGACAGGAACAAAAAAACAAAAAAACAAAACAAACATTGAAGGTGGAAATAAGAAAGAAATAAAAAATAAAAACAGTTGAGTGTCTTTGTCTCGGTGTGTGTCACACCTCTACGACTACATTCCCACACACCACTTAACTGCCCTCTCCTCTGCTACCTTTTCTACCCCCCCCTCCCCGAGTTATTGTCACTAAATTTTTGAAATACCACTAGTGTCACCCTGGAGGACGGTTCCTGTCATATGTAAATATATATATATATATTCATGCACTTTAGCTGCACTTCAGACAGTGATCGGGGCACGTTATAGGCAAGAAAAGACACTTCACGGCACGACACATGTCAGAACGGCACGGCACGGGTCAGCACATGACAGCACCACAGACGTGCGTGGGGCTAAAGATGGCTCACAGACCGGGCAAAACTGAGCTCACTGACCTACAGCACCTACCATTCACTATGCATGCCTCACGAACACACCACACCACACCACACACTCCCTTTTTTTTTTTGGTTTTTCCCTACGTGCTGTACCTGTGTCTGTGTGTGTGAGGGAGGGGTGGGTACGGTAGTGGAGCTGGCTGGTCAGAGCTGTTTACTACATCTGTCACCAGCACTAAGACAACAAGGTTAGCAACAGGTTAGCATTTCTGTTTTCAAACTCAGAGAGACTAATATATAGAGTAATATAGACGTATTATAGACCAGCTCTAAAGAACTAAGGATGACTCAACATTATAAATAAATAAATAAATAAATAAATAAAAAATACACACACTTTAGTAGACCACCAGAAAACATCTCAAAGCCCGTCTCATTACTTTTACAAAAGGCTTAATTTAAGTATGAGGATTCTCAGAACAACAGGCTCTTCACCCTCTGTCCCCCAGGCTTAAAGGACCATTACAGTGATTGGAGAACACGGCCTAATCTGGCTCGTATCACAGGGCTTTGTCTGTATATGTGTGTGTGTGTGTGTGTAAAGGGACTTTTCACCTGATCTTAAAGTGCTGTACTTCAGTTCTCAACCTTTAATCTTGATGATAGGGGAAAAGTAATTAAAAAAGTAGTATATTGAAGGGGTGTGAGAAAATATCAATACACTGAAATATCGCAATATTTCATTTCACAATACTGTATCCAGATTCTACAGAACTGTATTTTTTTTTTATTAACAATTAACAGTCAAATATTCATGACGCTGGTTCATTTTATTTCTTCTCCGGCGATTACAAATGTAGATCCCTCTGTTCTGATGTTAGTAACGTGATGTTTAGAATTGTGTGTTTACTATGTTGTCAGAAAAAACCTCAATATATTGTTGCACCTATAGTATCGCAATATATCGTACTGGTGCCCCTGTATCGTGATACGTATCGTATCGCCAGATTCTTGCCAATAAACACCTCTAATATATCGTTTCTGCATCCCAGATCTCAGAGTGTTTACGGGGGTCGGGGTGTTGGGGGGTTATAATTGTAATTGGTGTTAATTTCCACAGAGCATGAGACAAGAAAAGCGCTCCGACCATCTGCTCTCCTCTGACACACTGCTACCTGTCTACTGACGTGTCTCATAGTGTTTGTCATCTATGTCTACGGCTGCTACCACAGCTACACCTACCTTTGTGCATGCCGGTGTATTTGTCCTTAATCACAGTAAGCTCGTAGATTTTGCCAAACTGCTCGAAAATGGGCTTGAGGTCCTTCTCTTCCAGATTCCGGGGAATCTGCCCCACAAACAGCTTGATGGCGTCGGCCTCCTTCATCAGGACAGAGTGGAGAGGGCGACTGGATACTGCAGGGGCTGAGGGACAAACGGATCTGGAGCAGGTATCTCCGGAGAGGGGGTAACTGATGCTGGACCAGTCTTTGGGTCACATTGGCAGACAGGTGGAAACAAAAAGGAGACAGAGAGAAAAACAAAAAGACCTTGGTCACAAAAAAACACTCAGAACTAAAGGAACGACTTTGAGAGAGTGCAATCTTCCATCAACACTACACGGTGGCCATGCACTCAACTGTGTCTCAGTGACAACAAATCTAACCCAGTTCACATCCAGACAACATTTATCAAAACACAGAGAATTGTCATATCATAATATAATATAAGTATTTTTTTTTATTTATTTACTTCCACATAATCTTAGTTATTAAAATTAACCTCAGGAATTTAATGATTATTACATCAACTTTGAGCTACTTTCAATTAGAGAATGTAAGAAAATTTTGATTTTTTTTTAGCTTTTAAGCTAAACTTTCTTTAGGTTTTTTAAACTGATTGTCTGTGGACAAACAGGGAAGGGAATCAATGTATATTTTTGGTTTAAGGCACAGCAACAGACGTAGGTACTGTGTTTGTTTTCTAACAGTCAGACCAGGTTTGACTGACCTCTCAGTTGACCTGTAAGAGTTAAACAAAATCTGACTGACCAAACCAAAATGGATTTTGCTCGTCGTTAAGTGTGAGAGATGAGTGATCCACAAAACCAGTGAATCTAGGAGTCATCATTAATCTCTATTTCTTCCCTTCATTCATTCATTCATTATTATTTCTCACCCTAGATCTTTTTTTTCTTTTCTTATTATTATATTTAAGGCTCTGCTTTAGATCATTATCATCTAGATCTGAGTCTAACCTGGGTTTGAAGTAAGTGTTTAGCTAAGAATTTCTTATCTTATTAATCTCTAAAATGAACCCTTTTTTATATTAAAAACAAACATTTTTTTGGATGAAAAGGTGCCTGACCTAAATTCCTATTTGTTCCCCATCATCTCTGACTAGTCCAGAACCATGTCTATAGTAAAACTCCAAACACAGAGAAAAAAAAAATATTTTTTTTAAATGACTCCCCAGGGGACTGTCTTTATAGGATTATATGTGTTGACACTGAGGCAAAAGTAGTCAGAGTATTTGGTGATATCAGCTGCAATGTACGAAAAATAAAAAAAGTGATTAAAATGATAATATAAACAAAAACAAAACTTGTGGTATAATTTAACATTAAGAGGCCCCATAAAATAATCGATTATTTTGTATATCATTAAATTGACAAAGGATTCTAAAAAAATATATGTGTGTGTGTCTATATATATATTATATATTTATATATATATATATAAACATATATATGAATGAATGAATGAAACAACATCGTCATGGTCGTGGAAGTGCATCGGTGCTCTGGAGCGGTTTCTTTGTTTAGCCAGCTGTAGGTTACAACATACACACGGATGTCACGGGGCTTCCTCGCTCTTTGTCCGATCTCCCCTCAATGTACACACACGCGCGCGTGCGCGCGCAGACACACACTCACACATACATACGCACACAAACACATATTCAAAGGCGCGCACACACGAATTATCAAAACAAATCAACACTAGGGTCCAGCAAAGCGGACACATGCATCGTATCACTCACCGATCACCGACGCTACTTCTGGCCGCTGATGAGCGAATGACAGAGGGGGAATGTTCTCCGCTGTAGATGCCCGTTGTCGTCCTCTCCGCTCCGCTCCCTCAGTTCCGTCCTCCTGCCTCCTCTCCCTTTCTCTCTGTGGATGCTCTCCGCTCTTTGTGCCTGCCTCTCCTCCTATTTCTCCACCTCCTCCTCCTCCTCTTTCTCCTACTCGCGGTCCCACACAGACACTACACACACACACACACTCAGTCGACGGTTTTTTCACGGTGTATTCAGATGTGGAACACAGTCCTGGAAGCGGAATTTTCAAACACAAACGCCAGTGTTCACTCAAACACGAACAACAGCTCGAACCGAGTTCGGAAGCTCGGCTAGTTTTTTGTTTTTTGGGGTTTTTTGTTTGTAACTTCAAAACCGGCGTCCTCTTTCACGACAGCTAAACTAGTAAACATTTAAAAGTGCGTACAAACTACCGAGAAAGCGGCCAACGTCCAATGATTGGAACTAGCTTAAATGCTCAAGGAACTAGCTGTTTCCGGTGTTACCGTTGGTTTTCCAGCCGTCGTGACGGACTTTACTAGCTTTAATTTCCTGTCCCTTGTTAGCGCTTCACTTCTACAAAGGCTCAACTCTCTCTCTCCCTCTCTTTCTCTCTCTCTCTTTCTCTCTCTCTCGCTCCCCCTCCTCCCCCCTCTTCGCGAAAAGTGCTCTGCTAACCTTGTGGCGTATCCACCAGGGACCGTCAATATCTTTGCTCACCGTTCTCCAACAACTGAAGAAAAATAACTCTCCCCCCTTCATTGGTCGACAACTATCGACCACTACGCGGTTTAAAACGCGAAACTTTTCAGTGCTACGTGTTTTTAAAAACGCAGTTCATTCAAATGCCCGTCTTCGCGAACGTTGTGCGGCTGACACTTTTCAGACAGTGCCTTGTCAGAGGAGCCGCCTATTGTTCTCGCCGTGAGCCCTGGCCTTGGTGCTGAAACGATGCCGTTCGACGTGAGGCTGAGTGAAAGCTCGCCGCCAACGTTGTCACACCCAATCACGACGACTACAGCTGTTCACGCCCGATCCGAATGAAACTCTCCCACATCCACGCAGAGTGGAGAGGATTGTGAGAGCAAAGAGAAGAGAGAGAGAGAGGAAGAATATCGCTGCGGGTTGGAGTTGGCCTACTTTACAACCTGTACTCCAAAAAAAAAAAAAAAAAGTGCTCCGTGTGAGGACGGTCTTCAGAGACTGTTAAACAGCCGTATTTCACCATCCAAACACAGACATAGTGATGTGCGTGTGACCGTCGACGTGGGAACATGAGTGAGTGAAAAGAGAGTCATGGGGTTCATGGTAATTTACTCCCAAAGGTCACCATCTGCCTGCTTTGCCTCGTGCCCTCTGTGACAAACACACACACACACATTATTGCACAGCCATTCTTGTGAGGACTCTGCATTGACTTCCAAAAATCCTAAATGTCGCCATCTGCCAGTTTTGCCTGGTGCCCTCTCTGAAACACACACACAGGCTGGTTTTTGGTGTATTGCAAGCCCTTCACATAGAAGTAATCCGGTCCCTCAGCCTTTACCATAACATTAGCCTATAATCTTAATCCTTACCCCGACTCTTGACTAAAACGGGAACCTTAAAATACCCTCACACTCAGCGGGGGTCTCAGGTGAAACGACAGTGAGTGTCCCCACGACCATACTATCACAAACACAGAGCGAGTTTCAGGTGGGGACTCTGACTCATTTTATTATATTATATTATTTATATTTAGAGATTCTAGGAATAAGCTTCTGCTTCATTAGCAGTGCCCCCCTCCTCCCCTCTCCCCTCCCCCATGAGGACTTCTGGTCCTGGCAAAGTCTGTGTCTCTACTGGAAAATGTCCTAAAGAGGCAACATGAACGAGTACAGACACACACACATGTACGTGTCACCACTGCAGGGCTTCTCACAAACCCAGTTGAGGCACGCGAGGCCCACTAAGCCCTGTGGTGCTGCACGGTGTGCTGGCAGGAAAACACGCCACCGGCATGACGAGAGGAGGAACGATGCACGCGACGCACGAGCAGAGATGCTGAGCAGGGAGCCACGCACACGCCGTTACTCAGCTTTTCTACCAAACGACAGAACTCCTCATCCACTCCGTCACTGCGTTTGTTTTGGTTCGTCACCAAAGAAATCACTGACATCACAGGAATTCAACATGTGAGGTGCAATACTGGAGGTACTTTTTCACCAATGTGTTTTCTAATTCTGTACTTTTGTTTTGTATATTAAACACAAAATTTAATATTAAAAAAAATTATTAAAAAAAAACCTTTACATTCTGTGGTGGACTGGGGGAACCGTCCAGGATGTGACCCCCGCCCCTCATCCTTCCCACCTTCTAGGATTTTCTCTTGCTCTCGCTGTTCGTTGAAAAAGATGAAATGTTAAATATATAAACAGACAATAACCATTTAGTCCATTCCATTAACCTTTTTTTTTGGTCTTACCGGTTTGAGACTCAATGGCTCCATCGTTTGGAAGAAACTGGCAACGTCCCCTCATTTATTGGACAAACCAAAAACACAAACCCCC